TTGGATAGTGAATGTTGCAAAGCTATATGGTAAAGGCACTTTGAGACAAATGTGACAGGTATAAAGTGCTAGCTTCCTTGTCTAATTCAGGAAGGTAGGATTTCTTTGAATGTAAGTGTTTCATGATGAAAATGTACTATTCCAGAAGCAGCTATATAATGCTTATTTGAGAGAATGTCATAATATATATTTCTTTTTTTACATAGAAATGTTATTGTATGTTCTGTGAAACGATAGGTAGTTCTCATTTACCATCTGTTCACAGTTATGACAGTGGTAGAAAAGCAACTTTGTAGATCTGTAAACTGAAAGCTGCAGACCTGGGGTGAACTGAGAGGTCATAAACTCAGTTTTGTGGTTCACTTCATTTAATCAAATTTCTAGTCTCATAGTTGCTAAATAAGGGCTATCCGTGTGTCTTTGGTTCTGTAAAAATTCTGGCATATTTCCTATCCTTCTCTCCATCTGTTTTTATTTTTTTTAAAGTGAATCTGACACACACTCTAAAAATGCCAGTTTAGACTCATATTTCATTCATTTCTTGACGTAAATTCTTGTTTTGCAAAAACTAACACCATGATAAACTATATTGCTACACAGGTGTAACAACTTTAGCAGGTCATATATTGCCAGATAACTGTCAATTTATCTCCTATAAAATACAGAAATGTTCATTTAGTTCTGGTAGCGCTAATAGAATGAAAGTTAGCTTTACTTTTAGATCCTCTAACACAGGGGTCTCCAACCTTGGCAACCTTAAGACTTGTGGACTTCAACACACTGGCTCAGGAATTCTGGGAGTTGAAGTCCGCAAGTCTTAAAGTTGCCAAGGTTGGAGACCCCTGCTCTAACAAGTGGAGCCTACATTTATAGAGTGAGTAATCTTGTTTAATCATGCTTGTTCTTTGCCTAATCAGAGAGCACAATTTCCTTTTGATTCTAGTCACTGAAAATCACAGTAATTTTTGTTTCCATTCCCACTCAAATGAACATATTGCAGCTGCATGAATTGCAGAGTTTCTTTTATTTGCAAAGCTGTCTTTCTGTAGTTGCTTTAAAACGGGCTTGGGGAATATTTAGTGTCCAAGGACCTCATGTTCTTTTGCTGTGGCATTTACAGCCACGGAACATATTAATTACAAGCAGGATCTTCTTTTAAAATGAATCTTGCACTTCCCAACGTTTAAGCCAGTATTAAAGCAAGGGCGTAATGACTACCTCCACTTATTAGGAGCACATTTAAGAAAGGGGCCCATCCCAAGAGCCACAAAATTATTGTTGTGGAACTGCATATGGCATGGGTTACCATCTGTGTTATTAGATATCAGTTTGATAAAGAATCAATTAATAAATTGCTTCCCGATTTGTGGCACTGACTGTAAGAGGATAATAAAAGATAAACTATTTTTTTAAAGCATGGAATTAGATTCTGGAAATGAGAGAGTTTCAGCCTGACCTAGTTTGAGGGCCAGGGATAAGAGATAGTTTACAATCATGCATTGTCCCATGTAATAATTTAAGTTTTACACACACTCAAACAAACCCTATTCAAGATTGGGTCTGAGCTACATTTAATGAAGAAAGAGAAAATGGCTGAAAGATCTGTGCAATCAGCTATGAGTTTGGCATATCCTATTGGGAGCCAGCTTCAAAGATTGCACTAATTTTTCCTTCTAGTCAAGTATTTATCTTGTCAATTTACCAATAATGCATGACGTTGGCAGTTTCCCTTGGCACTATTGGACCTTTTTATTTCATAACATTCTATACCAAAGGCAAAATCACCCTGAGCTTTTGTAACACAAATCCCAACTGGTTTTACTTGAAACTGTACAATACTAATTCTCAGTGGACACCACTCCATTAGATAAATCTTTGCTGACGTGTGTTCCCTGTTGTGCAGATCCTACTTCTCCCAACTTTGAGGAAATTCCGTCCTAGTCAAGAGAAACAAACATGCTCTTTGGCACATTTAAGTCCAAATGTGGTTTGGGCTTACGGCCAAAGCTTCAGATTGGTGATTCAACTCATTTATGAACTCTGCCTTCAGTTACTAGCCTGCTTGTGAAAGTTCAATTACAGGTAGTCCTCGAGTTACAAGTTTTCATTTAGTGGCTGTTCAAAGTTACAACAGTACTGAGTGTGAACAACCGTCACAAGTCACTTTTTTCAGTGCCGTTGTAACTTCGAACAATCACTAAATGAAAACTTGTAACTCAGGGACCTACCTGTACAGAGCATGGCTTCTGGAATTCTTTCCTATCCTTTTACCTGCAGTGGCCATATATGTGGAAGCAAGGGGCAAACTGCATTATTAACAATTGCTTCATATGCAAACTTTTAGAAAGCCAAAACGCATGGATAGGTATTATTAGACTATCTGGGAGCCAAAAAGCGTAAATTCATTTCCCCTCCTTACTGTTAACTGGTTAAAATCAAAAAGCTTAGCTTTATTATTCTCCAGATGGAACAATCAGCAACATTTTGACAACTGTACAAGTCTTCTACCATCTCTTTTTACTGCCTGATTCATTGGGGAAAATTCTGAGTTTCTTTCTATATCCGTTTCCAGGGGTAGGCTTCAAATGGTTTAGCAAAAGGTTCTCTGCCCAGTTGCTGGGTCAGCGTGTGTGTGGTGGGTGTGGCCTAGCTAGCCTCCTGCACTATGGGGAGGGGTTTGTTTTTGTCCTCCCTGGACTCCGGAGGCTTTCTTTGAGCCTCCAGGAGGGTGAAAATGGCTTCCCCAGAGGCTCTCTGGAAGCCAGAAACAGGCCCATTTACGGCCTTCCCAAGCTTCCGGGAGACCCGTTTTTCGCCCTCCCCGAGCCTCCATGTGCACCCTGCACTTACCTGCATCCAAAATGGGCCACGTGGGGACTCCTGGAAGGTGTGGGGTGGGCGGGGCCAGCCAGGAGTGGGATTTGGGGGTTCTCCAAACTGCACAGAATCTTAGCTAGGGGTCTTCCAAACCCCGGTGAACTCCCAGCATGATGATCAGATAAAAAGGGGAATGCCCACAGCTGAGTAATGGTCCACGGGTAGCCCACCCCTGTGACTGTTACTCAGCTGTGGGCATTCCCCCTTTTTATCTGATCATTCCCTAAGCAGAATCTCCCCCTCCCCCCTTACAAAGTCATTTTCACATTCAATTATACATTCCCATAATCATAATTATTATTTCACCTTATGTTTATTCTTATATGGAGGTGGATATTCATTGCTTTGATAATTGTTGTTGCAGAAATTATGCCAGAGTATTGTTAAATAGCTCTGTTCAGTGTGTGTTTGAGGAAAAGTGATATGAGGCGAGTTAAATATCAGGCTGCCTATGCAAAATCTAACCTAAAGGTTTTGGACGTGGGATGGTATCACTTTTTCTAAAGAACACAAAAGGAGAAAACTGGAGGAACTCATATATGTATGCAGGTTGCAAACACACATCATACAATATCTACCAGAAGTAAAAATGTAAAATTATTAGTATCCCTTGTTCCCCTTAGGTTTAAAGGTAGTTCAAGGAATAGCTTCACCATTTTAAGCCCTTCAACCAGTTAATAGCAAAGAGGGAGAAAAATGAATTTGTGTCTTTTGGCTCCCAGATAGTTTAACAATACCTGTCCACGTATTCTGGCTATCTAAAAGTTCGTATATGAATCAATTGTTAATAAGCTGGAATAATAAAGCATAGCAAAGAGCTCAGTGCTGTAATCAAAAGCTTCACCTAATTAATTTCCTTTTTTTTTTAACCATATGTCTTCTGGGACCTGCTTCTCAACTTTCTAGCTTTAGACTGTACAGCAGTAGTTACATGACAGATACTTTCAGTGTAAGGTTAACCACACTTCTTATACTAAACTCCAATTTGTTACAGTTCCTGTTTTCATCATCATACGTACCCGAACGAAACATCTGACAATATCCCCCATTCCTGTTTGACTTTACACTGTCTGCCTTTGTTCATCTCATATGAATTGTAATTGCTACGGTAGAAGGATCCCATCAATAATGTACCTTCTCAGTTCCCAGTCATTGGAATGATATTAAAGGGCGCCGAAGATAAAATAGATGTTAAGTTCAAGTTGGAGAACAGAAGCAGTCAAAAATGAAGGACAGAGGAAAATCCCCAAGCAACCCTGACCATCTCACCTGACCAAATGTTCCTTCTGGCATTTGTATGTCAAAGTTTGCTTTTGCTAGGTAAATATTACCTTAGAGGGCTGCTCTGGTATTCATAAGTAACAAGCTTTACTCAAGGCTGTTAAACACCCCCATGATCATGGCACAGAAGGTCTCCAGGGTGTTGGAATTTCTATAGCTGTGCCAAAGCCTGCTGCCCTTGGCCGGCATGGAGAAGGCCAAGGGCATCTTTCTCTTGGCTTGCTGCCCTCAGCCATCTGCTTTTCAGAACAAAGAGCACCCTCCTTTGACATTTCTGAAGCAGACCTTGCTAGCTTTGGCTTCCTCCTGACTTAATGGAAAGAAAACAAATACATGCCCAGTAGCAATTACAGGGCAGTGTCGTACCTATCAGCATTCCTGCAAGAACGTGTGCAAAATTGTCCTTATTAAATATCAAATAAATTGTAACATAACCAAGCGTAATGGGTAGAATTTCCTGCAAACTTCCTTATTCCTAGGATCCGTCTTATAGATATCAAAAAATCCTGTGAATGCCAGCAGACTAAAATATATAGTAATTTACTCATCTATCACAAAATGTTATGCATGTGTACTGTATATAAATCTCAATGTGTTTAGTTGGACTTGTTTTCATTTTCAGTCAGTGCCATTTTCACCAAAAAAATTGTTCTGTGTGAATTGATTTCAGAGATTTCAAAGAGAGAAAATAAATTGACAGAAATGCTGTGCAGAAAGAAGTTTATAGCTATATATTTTTTATTCTTCTAAAAAAGGATTATTCTTTTTCATTTTTTATTCTTTCTTGGATGGTTTTTTTTAAAGACAAGGCAATGACAATTTCTTACTGTATGAATATGTTTATCAAGTACTAAGTTTTGAAGAAATACTAAACTTCAAACATGACTTGAAAGATACTTTGCCTTGGTAACTTTACTAATTTCCTGATGGGGAGTTGAGTATATTATCACTCATTTAATATCAGTATCCGCCATTTTTCTTATCTAAAATATCCGCTTCCCCACTTAGAATTATCTGTGCAACCTACCAAGTGACATAATATATCTTGTTTGAAGATCTTAAATAAATAATGCTGAATGTCTAGCAACATATTTCTCCAGCTATTAAGCAATGGCAGTAAAAGAGACCAATCCCATGCTTTTATTGAACAACATCCTGGGACAGTTCCCAGATATATGTGTGACTCAGGCATCTATATTATCTGTATCCTTTTGTTTAGAGTCTGTGTGAAGACTTAAGGATCCCAGCATCTCTGTCTAACAATCTGGACAAATGCAGAGAACAGATGTCACTCAGGTTTTAATTGTGGAGTTCTTGATGCTCTCTGAGTTTGATTATATACTGCAAACCCCACACTCATTGGCACTGATGAAGTTAAGTTAACTGGGTAATGAAATGCCTGCAAGCATACAAGCAAGCTCAGGGAGCACTAAAAACCCCATAATTTAGACAAAGTATAGCCTCATCTTGCCTGCAGATGCCATATTTCTGGTCACTGTTGGAAGAAAAGAGAAAACATTAAATTATTTTAAAGTTCTGCTACAACACTGCCGTACAAAGTAACTGGGGTTAAAAAATAACAACAACTGAGTCTCTGCATCTCTAACAAAATATCTCTGGATTTTTTTGGAGGAAGGTTTTCTGTTTCCCTCATTGTGAAATGTGATCCTTTGCCTTTAGCTACACTGTTTTGAAGTAGTTTTATCTTTATCTTTTAATAATCCTTAGGAAAGGGCACTTAAGAATTAGACAGCTTTTGTTTACCATATTATAGAAATAAAGACTTTTTTAAAATTAGACTTCTGCTGTGCTGAACCAACTGATCTGCAATAAGAATTGGGATAGTGTGAGTACATCCTGCTACATTCCCTTGAGTGCTAATCTCTTCTGTTGAACATACAATACCATAGTGCACAACACAAAGTCTTCTTACTGGTCTTTCCTGTTTTCTGTCAAAGGACTCTTTATGACCAAACTGAATGGATTAAAAGGAGAGTTAAGCATTTCAGATAATACATGTCTGTATTTCCATGTCCTCATTTATAGTAATGCTATTTCAATTTTTCTTTCAAATGGCATGGATTCTTTTCATGGTTTTAATTACATATTGAATGTTTGGTCTTTGTAGGTTTTTGGGGAGAAAATGGGAAAATATGCCCCATTTGAGGAAAAATTGTGTTAATTCTTCAGCTCTTGAAGAGTTGTAAAAAAACAAACGCTTCTGTGAACTTGATAGCAAAGGATTTATGATCTCTGCCATCGAAATGAAGTCTTTAAAGATATATTATCTGTTAATCTCTCTTTTTTAATATACATTGGACATCCAGTTATAAGGCCACTGCCATATGCCCAAGAAGTTTTGTATATAATTACGTGGGTTGTTTACTTCTCTTTTGTCCTGTTCTCATCATATGCCAAATAAATCTCTCTCTCTCACTTTAAGTTAAGTACTGAAGAGTACTTATAAGTGCTGTTTATTTTATACAAAGATTTATATCCCTTTCTTCCAACACATATCTATCAGTCAGGGATGATAGATATCTAAAATTTAGTTTAATAGAGTTTGATCAAATAAGAAAGTTCTTTCTAAAAAGCCATATCTATGAAATTGATACCCTTGTTTTGGTGGAAGCATGTGTACTTGAATGAAATAGGTTTTAGTTTGATATTTATTTAGTAACTAATTATCTTAGGTCTGCTATGTAGCATTTAATATCTGTAGCTGTTTTTGTTTTACAGTGGATAAATTTCATAGAAGATTTATGGACAAAGATATAAGATACTCTTCTACATCAGCAAGCCTGCAGTGTAATATGTATGTAAGTAGCTTTTTTCGTAGCATGTTTTTCCAAAAGTAATCCCATGTAATTTAGCATTACTTATTCCCATCAAAATTGTAGCCTCAATCCATGCTTAACATTTAATGGAAGCAAGTTATAAGCTGCTTCCTAAACTTAGAAATTGATTGTAGACATAGGAAGCAAAAACTGAATCTAAATCAGATCTTGAATCTGATTTAGATTTTGAATCTAAATCAGTAGTGGTTTAATACAGAAGACTTTAGAATAGAATAGAATTACAGAGTTGGAAGGGACCTTGGAGGTTTTTCTAGTCCAAGACCCAACTTAGGCAGGAAACCTTACACTCTTCAGATAAATGGTTATCCAATCTCTTCTTAAAGACTTCCAGTGTTGGAGCATTCACAACTTCTGGAGGCAAGTTGTTCCACTGATTAATTGTTCTAACTGCCAGGAAATTTCTCCTTAGTTCTAAGTAGCTTCTCTCCTTGATTAGTTTCCACCCATTGCTTCTTGTCGTGTTCTCAGGTGCTTTGGAGAATAGCTTGACTCCCTCTTCTTTGTGGCAGCCCCTGAGATATTGGAACACTGCTATCATGTCATGACTTTCAGATTAAAGTCTGGAATAGTGGCATGCCTCTTTTCTATTCTATTTTCTCCAAATGTGATGCTGTAGTGATTTCATCTTGATTACATTTGCAGCAGAAGACTTGCTTTAACAATCACATATTCTATGCATAGAGCATAGAGTATTTACTTATTCTGCAATGTTCTAGAACACTAACTTTCACTTCCTCCAAAGCGCAGGTGAGCTATGTTTTGCCTCGAGATAAAGATTTTGGCAGGAGAACTGCATATTTAACTCAGTTTTATTGTGGAATAATACTGTTCTTCCCCTGTTTTTCAGTCATATAAATGATTATTCTCAATATCTTCATTGCAGAACATTTTTGGAAGTCTCTCATTCAGTATTTTAAGGAGAAAAGCAATTAAGTTCAATCTCCCCCCCTCCCCAATGTTTTATCATTCCAGTGAAAAGCTTGCGAAGCAATGCAAAGATCTGGGAAAGAACTTTCCAAAACTCTCCACCGGGAAGATAAGGAAGTAAATGAAATGACTGAAGGTGTCTCTTCACTTCCTTCTCCCCTTCTCTGCTTGAGTGGTGAGGGAAACACGCAAGCGGAAATGCTGGAAAAAGCCCAGGAGCTCTTCCGGCTCTGTGACAAGGAGGAGAAGGGCTTCATTACAAGATTTGACATGCAAGTAAGCATCTGACACTGGCTGGCTTCTCAAGACATTGTGTGGTTTGCTTGTTTGTTGTATTGTGTGAATCCAACCACTAGGCTTAGGAACGTATCATAGTGCATGGGAAGAAGCATATCACTTTATTTAACAGATTCTGTTCCAAATACAAAGCAGAAGATTCAAGCCTGGGCTTTTGAAAACAGTACTGGAGCAAAGCAACTATCAGACTGGCATCAAATATGATGCAAGATAATTTAATTATTATAGGTTCAAATTAAAATGGTTTTCTGTAAAAGTCTCAGCTTAAATGTAATACTAAAGCTGAAGATTGCTTGGTATCGACCCATGATTGACATTAGTTTTCCCTGTTTCTGTTTAGATATATCCATATGCCTTCAAGTGAATGAAAGGAATGGGGAAAACAGTCATCATTTAACTATTTTAGGTTCTTTTCTGTCATTGGTCAGTCAGCTGCTCAAAGTTTGAAATTTATCTTTCCTTTTTATTTGTTCTACATCTGGAAAGAAGTCCAAATTGCCCATATCATGTTCTGTACTTTCTGGTTGCTCAGCTAATCTAGCTTAGTACTTCGTTACATTTTTTCCAAAGATGCTTTTTCAAAAGGCAACTGGATCTTGTTTTTCCTTGCAGATGTTTTGCTTCTCATCCAAGAGGCTTCTTTAGTTTTTCTTCAAAACTGAAGAAGCTTCTTGGATGAGAAGTGATATTTCTTCAGTGAAAAACAAATTCCAGTTGCCTTTTGAAAAAGTACCTTTGGGAAAACCATGACCCGGCTGACTGGGAATTTCAATAGACATTTTTTACTTTGCGTTATCCTTTTGCCTTTTCTCACAACATACAGAGATAGTTCTTGTTTATGTTGCCTAGTCTGGTGATGATCTCTTGCTCATTCAATCAGCTAATAATTGTCACAAGAAGATCCACTTTCTGATTGGTTCCTGTTATTTGTTCACCAACTGATAGGCTGTCAACATTCCAACCATCATTTTCTCACCTCTCTTGGTTCTTGACCATCAGCTTTTCAGCAACATTGGTGTGTTCAGTGTATTTCAAACTTTTTTATCATTGTTCGACTCAAAAATGCTGAACATAACCATCTGCCGTAGTCACTATAAATTGCCAATTAAATAGTATTAATTGGTTAACCTACAATAACAACAAAATCAAAGTTTATGGCTTAATATATGATATGAATCAGTTCTAATTTATTTTATAAACTAAGGTTATATAAGCTTGTGAATTAATATAATGGGTGAATCTTGTATCATCTTCCACATTATCTCTTACTTCCCATGCATGCCGAATTTTTTAAGTGGATTTTTTAAAATAAGAAAAAGTCCTTAAACAAATGTAACACAACATAGAAAAAGACCATGCTTCATTTCTTTAAAAACACAAAGTAGTCTGTATACATAAGAAGAAATGGACACATATCTTTTAGATCCATGTATTCATGGATCATCCATGTCCATGTATTCTAATGTATATAGACCTATCTAAAAGATATGAGGACATATATCTAAATTTTACCAAGAGGCAGCAAAATTCTTCACACAGATTCTTGAAGGATAGGTACAGATACTGTGTCTAAGTCACACCTGAATCAGCAACTACTCCCAAAGCAAGGAAGGCTTTAGAATAAATCTGAAAGAAAGTACAGGTATTGAGATGCCTGTCATGGCATAAATGCAACTTTGGCTTAAATTGCCATCTTTCTATGTCTTTCTATGCAATGAAGAAATAAAACACATGAAGGCTATTGAAGGGATATAAATCTAAAAAAAAGCTTATCCTGGTCCCTTCTTTTGCATATATTTGGATACTTTGAAGAATGCTATTAAAAGAGCAGAAGAAATAGAATGGTTGTAGCTACAAATTGCAGCCAAGTTGGACAGAGTATGAGAACTTAGAGAACACCCAGTTTCTGCCCTGGCAAAATAGAATGTTCATTGTTTATATGACACCTGCCAATTTTCCACAGGTTGCATACCAATAAGGTTATTCAGGACTTCATTCTCTCTGGTTTATCATACTAAATGCTAATTATAATTATAGACTATGGTGGTTAAGACTCACCTTAACTAGAAATTCTACCCATTAATGTGAGATTAGAGCAGAAAATGCAAGAGTGTAAATCGTCAGATCCACGTTTTCAAGGAAAGGTTCCCCCCCCCTCATTCCTTCATCTGCCATTGTACAATAACTTGGCAAACTTAGTTCTTTGGAGACAATTGGGGAAATGAAGTGAGAATAATATTTTATATTTGTTCTGTTAATTATAGATCTAAATCCTGAATCTGATGCTCTTTTTTTCTTCTTTTCCACAGCGGTTACAAAGTGAACTACCATTCACGACTGAACAGCTGGAAGCTGTTTTTGACAGTCTGGTGCAGGACAATAATGGTTACCTCACCCCAGTAGAATTCAGTGTAGGCCTAGGTAAGAGAAGAAGGAGAAGGGGAGTTTGGAAGGTGATGATAGTTACATGTGGAACAATGATGGCTGCTTCTGTAGGCAGGAAATCCATATTTCTGTTTTCAGACAGCTGAGAGCTGGGAATGGAACCATACTGAGAATTGAGTCTACAGTAGCAGGCAAGGTAGTAATATATGAAGAATTGAAAATATTGCTCTACTCTGCAGCAAAGATAGATGGACGGATAGACAAGGAGTAGATCCAAGCTGGTGGATTATTTGTCTTTGTCACTTTACTGTTTAGTAAAACAAACATCATTTACAAATGTTGGTGTACCTTCAGAATTGTTTTGCCCCATGTCTACTCCACAAACAAGTTTCTCAGAGTAGTGAACATCTGGAAGTCATACCAAGCATCATGTTTGTAGAACAGAGTATGGAATATACTTCCTCTTATTGTGAGTCATGTTGGGATGAGGTTTCCTTGCAACAACCTGTTGTCCTATTAAGAAGTCTTCCAACACTTCTCATTTACTGCTAAAATACCCAGCAAGCAAAATCCCCCATGCAGCCAAAGAAGTAGCTACTGTAAAAGAGACCCATTTGCTATGAGCTGGCTTTGAAGGAGGCAAGGTTACTAAAATACCCTTGTGCTGATTAGAAGAAGCCAAGTTCCTCTGTTTAAGAAGACAACTTAAGTCAACAGTTCTAATACTGTGTTTCGAAGCAGGCTGATCATAGTGATCAGACCTAGGGAATTGGGTAGGAAAGCAGTGAGAGATTCTGATTTGATGAACTAGAATAGAGACATGATATGGTTTATTTTACCCAAAGGGTAAATATCTTGGAGTTCCAAGAATAAACAATTTAGGTATTTGACCTAGGCTACACATTTAGGAGGCAGTAATCACAGTACAGCTAGTCCTTAATTTATGACCACAATTGAACCCAAAATTTATGTTACTAAATGAGAAATGTGTTAAGTGAGTTTTGCCCATTTTATGAATTTTCTTGCCACCTTTGTGAAGTGAATCACTGCAGTTGTTAAATCAGTAACACGGTTGTTAAGTGAATCAGATTTCCCTATTGACTTGGCTTATCAGAAAGTCACAGAAAGGTGGTCACATAACCCTGGAACACTGCGACCATCATAAATATGAGTCAGTTGTTAAGCATCTAAATATAAATCACATGAGCGTGTGGATGCTGTAATGGTCATAAGTGTGAAAAATGGTCATGTCACTTTTTTCAGTGTCATATCTTTGAACGGTCACTAAGCAAACTGTTATAAGTCAAGGACTACCTGTATAGAATATTGCTAGTACTAGTCTAATCCCAGAATAGTTAATGGTTGACTATCTATCAAGGAATCAGAGCCGCTGTATTAAAAAACTGTCAGCTGCAAACAATCAGAACCACTCATAGATAGCTAAAGCAAGCAACTTTATTCTCTTCCTAAATTACAAGAATCTCCCCAGACTGCTCGCCTTTCCTTGGGAACAACCACATAAGGCTTCATGAATCTTGGGGGTGGAAGGTTTATGCTTTTTGTACTTGTGCAAGGATTCTAAGCTAAGCCCATGCTTGACCCCTCCCCCAACTTCTAACCTAACTGGCAGTTTCCCAACAAAAACTCTGAAATCAAGTGTTTGCCAAGCCAATAATAATAATAAGGGGAATGTCACAGTCAGCCTATCAAAAATGAGAAAGCCAGTCAGACAAATCGCTCTGATAAAAATACTGGGGGATGGGGGTGGGGTGGGTGTAGCAGAGGGAAGGCATCCCTGTGCTCTGTCTTCTGAGCTAAGCAAGACAATTCTAAGGGAGAGTAATAGTAGAAGAAAGCAATAGGCCCTCTCTGATAGCAGCTTCCATATTTTGGCATTAATTCACCCCTAACAGCTATTATGGCAGATATAACACTATGCTACTATTTGTTTTGCCTTAGTATTGTGTGCAAATCAGGTCAGGTCAGCAAATCATTTAACAAACGATAGTTTTTTTTAAAAAATGAGTTATTAATATGTGTAAATGATGATGATGATGATGATGCAAGATTCAACCATAGTCTTTGTTTGGGTTGCCAGAGTTTAGTCCTGGAAACAAACAATACAGGTAGTCATTGAATTACAACCCTAATGGAGTCTGCCCATTACAGTTGTGAGTCACTGCAGTCCTTAAGTGAGATGCCCTCATAAATGCCTCACTCAACAACCACTGTCCCCACCCTTCCATAGGTGATTGCAATGAGTTGCTAAATGGATGGGGCAAAAGAGCTGTTTGCTGAAGGAGAACAGGCAGTTCCCCTCTGCACAGAACTGGTGATCTGGATGACCTGAGCTTCCTTGATCTGTCCCAGGAAGCCATATTGGCTTCCCTCACCACCATGCACTAGAAAATCAGAAAGCCTATCTCTGTAGCCCAGGGTGGGGGGTGGGGAGTCAGCCCACTGCACAGGGAAGTGAAGCTGTCCTAACTTCGTTCCTTCGTACAACATGTCCCTGCACTGCCTTCCCTGGCTAGAGGAAAAGCTGCCTCTCTAACTAGGGTGTGTGTGTGAGAGAGAGAGGGGCGGGGAGGTGGAATTGGTACACTGTTTAGAGAAACAGAATGGCTTGTGACCTCCTCATCCAGCTTTCCTGTTGACTTTCTCAGGAAGCTGGCAGGGATGATTGCAAATGGTGATCACACAAGGTTGCTAACAGCCCAAATTGCAACCACATGACTGCAGGGGCTCTGTAATGCCCGTGACTGTGACCGTCAATCATATGTACCTTTGTTCAGCACCATGTTAGTTTCCGATAGTTGCTGAATGAATAGCTGTAAGTTGAAGACTACCTGTATGGAATAGCAGAGAACATTTTTAACATGAGGAAGCTGCCCCTACTAGTATGATTGACTATAGTTTCCAGAATTTGCAGCCAGCATGGTGAAAGGTCTGAGGTTTATACTCAAACATACTTACGAATACTGAGTGAGGGAAGGGTGATAAGCAGAATTACCTTCATTGTCACAGAATAACCACAGTTCACTGCATAAATTATGTGGGTGGGCTAAGGATGGCCAGTCCTATTCTTCTTTGGACAAGCCAGGTAGTTAGTGTGATTTAGAAAGCCACTTTCTAAGTTAAAATGGGGGCTATGGATTTGCTATTTCACAAAGGGTCTTTAATTTTGCTTCCCGAATTAATTATTTGGTCCTGATGCTGCAGTCTGGGACTGTGTCTTGAAGTTGGTAACTTCAGTGAGCTTCCAGTCAGTATTGTACTTCTCTCTCTTTACAAACTAGCCCAGAGCGAAAGAACCCTAAAGCAAATTTCCTTTCTATGGTGATCTGCAAGGTGATCTCATTTCATTCCCTTATTTTCATAGGGAAGTTCTTTGGAAACAAGCCACACCAAAACTCTGAAAATGCCAGTCACGAGGAGACCTTTGAGTCTAGCTGGTCGGAGGAATTGGAGCAGACAGATGAAGGGGAGAAACAGTTTTGTTCTGTGTTGGAGCAGCTGGAAGCATCCCAGGTCTTTGAAGAGTAAGATGGAACTCTCCAATCTGTTTTTTTCTATTGGAGTATGAATATTATAATGGTTGAATTCAACAGCCTTACGTTCAAAAAAGGGTTGCCTTGAATTTTGTACGGCATCTCTTTGCTATATAATTAGTGAGCTATATCTATTGCCTTTAATCTGTAGAATAGGGGTGAAGACGCTCTGACTCTCCAGCTGTTGCTGAATTACAGCTCCTAATATCTCTTACCAGTGGTCCCATTGACTAGAACTAAGGCCATGGTGGGCTATGGATTTCTTATGCCCGTGGCAGAACGTTGCTAACTCTTCTGCTTTTCTGTTGCTAGGCCAAGAAGGACTAATGCATGATGTTGTGACAATATTAGTGAAGGAAGAAGAGTAAAAATTTGGGTTGGTAATGTAATAAAAGTCAACCAAAACTATTTTGAGGGGGGAAATGTGCAAACCTAATGTCCAGAAAAAGCTCAGACTTTATGATTTATGTCTTTCCTTGTGTGGTCTGCTTGTTCTTATCATAAGGAAGTGTGGGTAGGAATAGAACTTAAAGTAGTGTCTTTAAAAACATTTTGCTGGGATCTCCATTGCCTTTACTCCAGTCAGGGTGAAGTTCAAGAGCTTTGGGTTCGAATCCGAAAAGGGGCACCCGAACTCCTAGCCAGTTTCGAAGAGTTTCTTTTCCATATTTCCTCATACATCAAGGATCTGCACCATGAGAAAGAATCCATTGAACTGGTATTAAAACGGTAAGCAATTTCCATAATGTCTTAATGGCTTCTTTTATTAAGTTGAAGACTGGGGCATTAGCTTCCCATGGACCATCAACAGGGATTAGCAGAATGTGGGAATCTAGAGGATAGACTATGTTTTCCAAGTATGATAGTCCTAAAGTTTTAATATAGAAGGCATCCTTTCTGTAAAATATTGTTGATGATAAAATATTCATGCATAGCATGGAGGCATAGTTGAAGTAAAATATGGGGCTTAACTTTGATGTCAAGATTAGCCAACTGTTTGTGAATAAAACAAAATAGATAAAATGTCAGTAATTTAAATCAGTCATTGTGTCAATTTAATATAAAACACGATTAATCTAATCTTTTATTTTATAGTCATTTGATACACAACAATGAGTCTTACTGGAATAATTTTTCCAGCCTAGCTACAGTTGCTAAAGATTGCAGATAGGATTGTAAAACTTACAGCAAACATTAACTGTCCAGAAACAACATATTAAGCCTATTATAAAGAATCCTGAGTTTTGCTTTTTAGGAATTTTTCTTTTTATGGGCAGCAACTATTTAAACATTCAGATATTTTTGTAGGACTGTGAGAGTGTCATAATTAATGAGTATGTGAAAAGTGACAGGGTGTATCATGTGATGAAGTGGAATGTATTTATTTTGCTTTAAAGAAAAGATTTCTCCCGTTCTCTTACTTTGTTTTCATTTTTTGTTTAGTTTACCCAACCCAATGTTTTTCAGACTTGGCAACTTTAATATGTGTGAACTTCAGCTATGAGAGTTCTCCAGCCAGCATTGTTGCCAAGTTTGAAATACACTTTTTCCACATCTTCTTCCTGTTCTATTTTTTTAGAAGAGAGACAGACCATGACCGAGAAATCAGGTGTCTCTATGAGGAAATGGAGCAACAAATTAAAGCTGAAAGGGAGCGGCTGGTCCAGCAGGTAAACCCCTGTCCTGCACACAGTCCTAATCCTTGATTACTCCTATGATGTTCGGCAAATGCTCGGGATGATTTTATGGAGGAAGAAAGAAATTGGAAGGAACACCTGTTCCTCTGCTTTTTTTTTTTTTTTTTTTTTGCAGGAGTCATCAACAAGGCTTGAGAAAAACAACATGTTTCAGAAAGAGTTGCATAACAAAGAGCAAGAATTTGAGAAAATTCTTTACCGGCAGAAAAAGGTGACTGAGGCCTGCTTCTCATCCTTTCATGATTACCACCAAGTTATCATTCAGTAAAGGAGTAACAATTTTTACTTATAAACTATCCTTCCCAATCTAGTGTTCCCTAAATATACTGGATTATGATTTACAGAATCCTTGATAAATGTTTGGAGGATATGGAATAGAGAAAGGCTGCTACAAACTATTTGTTGATTCCATCAAGAGAAACTCATGGGTTAAAATAAGTTTTTTTGTATATGCACAAGTCATGCAAAGATGCATTGGAAGGTACATCTTGTCTGGCTGGCAGTATTTTTTTGCAGAACTAGAACTGGATTAGGGTACAAGAGGTTATTGTACACATTCCAAATTAAGATGTAGACCTGTTGGGAAAGGAAGAAGTAAAATACTTTCTGCTCTATTTATTATTTCATCATTCTTGGTCCATTTGGTTCCAATAAGCATGAGTGTTATCATCTCTAGGCTTTCTATTGTCCTTTCATTGCCATGTTACATCAAAATATGATCGAAAACTATGATAGGAAAGCTTTGTGGGGTTTTTTTTTTACAGTCTTTGATTTGTGACTTGGATCTTGGATTTGGATCTAAATTCAAGAAAATGATTGGCACAATTTATTCGAACCAAAAAGCTAGGGTAATTATAAATGGGGAGATTACTGAGAACTTTAAGATTATGAAAGGTGTTAGGCAGGGATGTCCAATGTCGCCTCTGCTTTTTTTCTTGACCATCGAAGTGCTTTTAAATCAGATTAGACAAAGAAAGGAGATAATTGGATTGAAGAGCAAAAAAGAAGAATATAAAGTACAGGCGTTTGGGGATGACTTAGTGTTTTTTGTGGAAGATCCAATGGAGTCAGGGACTTATCTAATTCAAGAATTAGAAGAATATGGGGTAGTAGCAGGACTAAAAATTAATAAAGATAAAACAAAAGTAATAACCAAAAACTTGATAGAAAGTAAAAATAAAAACAATTGGAAAGGAAATTGGGATTACAAAGTGTCAAAAAACTTAAATATCTAGGAATTTGGTTAATAGGAAGATGCTCTTCCATAAAAGAGGATAATTATATGAAATTACTTTTACAGATAAAGAAAGATCTGGCCAATTGGGGAAAATTACAAATATCACTATTAGGCCGAATAGCAGCCATAAAAATGAACATACTACTATTATACTATTTTCAAACAATACCTATAAAATTGGATAAGATTTTTTTTCAGGAATTAGATAGGATGGTAATGAAATTTATACGGATGGGGAAAAAAGCACAAATAAAATTGAAAACATTACAAGATAGTAGAACCAGAGGCAGCCATGGACTCCCAAAATGGGAAACATATTATCAAGCAGCAATTTTACTATGGGTTAAGGAGTGGATAAACTTAAAAAACAAAAGTATTTTGGCGATAGAAGGTCATGACCTCCAAATTGGGTGGTATGCCTTTCTATGGGATAAAAAGGATAAGATCCACTCCTATTTCCATAGACATTTGATAAGGGACTCACTTTTACAAACATGGGAGAAAATTTTTTAAAAAGCATTATTTGAAAGGACCAAACTGGATCTCAACTATGGAAGCTATATTATATCCAAATACAAGGGACATTAAAAGAATGATTAGATATAAAGAATTGGTAGATGAACAGGGGGAATTAAAAACACTAGATAAACTAAAAGAACAAGGGATAATATTAGACTGGTGGGTATATTTGCAAATTCAAACTAAATTTAAGAAAGATGTAAAGGAGCTAGGGATAGATGAAGATTTACAAAAATTGGACCAAACCTTGACAGGCAAAGATATAAAATTTATAACATGAAAATATAATTATTTACTGGAGGTAGAACTAGAGGAGGAAATTGTTAAGGGACCAATGATTGCCTGGGCGAGATATGTGGGTCATAATATAAATTTGGATGAGTGGGAAAAGACTTGGACCAAGAAATGAAAGCTGACTTTGTCGACGGAATTCAAAGAAAATCAATATAAAACGTTTTGTAGATGGCACTTAGTGCTGGCACGACTGGCGAAAATGTATCCAACCTTGAAACCAGAATGCTGGAAGTGCCATCAAAAGAAAGGAACGTTTTGCCATATGTGGTGGCAATCTATAGAAATCAAAAAATACTGGAAGAAAATACAGAGATGGCTTTTTGAGATTACAAAATATAAATTGAATTTGGAACCCAAAATGTTTTTATTAGGTATGATCAAAGGGAATTTGAGTAAAGATAAAAGATACCTTATTGTACACATCTTAACTGCAGCAAGAATCGTGTTAGCACAAAATTGGAAGAGTTATAAAATACCACCAGATGAAGTTTTAATTCAAAAAATAATGGTCTGTGCTGAACTAGATAAATTCACTATGGAACTGAAAGGCAAAGAGGGTTGAGAATACTATGTGACATGGGAGAGGTGGTAGGAATGGGTGAAGGATAAGGATAAAAATAATGTATAGTCACAAAATAAGAAACGTGTATATACAATGACACATGTTAATGGAAATGAGATTTTTGAGATTTTTGTATTTTTTGTTTTTAAAGAATAAAAATTAAAAAAAACACTAGAATTGCAGGAATAAATATGATAGGCTTTGAAAAGCTCTTGATTGCAAAGTCAGAATGCATGCATGGATGGAAACATTTCTGTCTGAATACCTTTTTGGAAACTGTAATGGATGAAATCAGTGCTAAAATGGACAAAGCCATCTTCTATTTAAGGAAAGATATAAGTTTAAAATGCCCATTTGAAGAGGGATGTAGCCTAGCCTGCCACCTCTGTTAAGAAATTGATATCTCATGGTGTGGCGAGCAAATAATTTTCACAAGAGTCCTTGCATTTGGAGAAGATACATCTATGATTACGTCTAACCATACCCAATTGGTTTAAGTAACAGCTGTCTGGTTAAGAGCCAATTACATAATATTGATATAGCAAACTTCATGAAATTCCTCACGTAGGAATCCATGACTGTAGGCCAAGTTTCTTCTGAAATCTTATCTTAATCTGCAAGGCTTGGTCCAACTGCTTTTGAATAGTATCTGCTGTCCTTCTTTAACCTCCAGGCCCACGGCTCTGGCAGGATTTCAACTCCATATTTCACTCTGGTCTGGTACACTAATCACCAAAGTTAGAAGGACTGTGTTTATTCATGTCACAATTGTATAGTTATTCTTCTTGGAGGAATGCAATTTTAGAATTGGGAAATGGAGTTTGTTTGGATAATTATTCTATCCATATTGTTGTAGGCGATTTAAATTTATATTTATATATATGTGTGTGTGTGTGTGCATGTATATATACACATACATACATACATACACACATACACATATATACTCCTAGGATAAAACAACAACAATATTAGATATTATTCTTATTGCAATCCTAGATTTCAATCCAACTATATTTATTTTGTTTTATAAATGTCTATGTTTAGTTGGAACATCAGTTACACTGCCAGCACTCTGAGCAGCTAGAAATGCATATACAAAATGAGAGATTACAAATTCTGAGTGAAAATCTCCTCAATCAGCTGGAGAGGACCAAATGGGAGCTGGAAGCAGCTCAAAGTCGTTTGCAAGAATTGCAGAAAGAAGCTCAGGTAGAGCAGGAATGGAAGAACAGGTATGACCAGGGGTTACAGAAGGATGTAGAATGGTGATAGAATGGAAATATTAGAAAAGCAATGCTGTTGTATGTGGCTGCTGCACATTGATAACTCTTTAAGGGTGAATATTTTCTGGCATTTTGTTTTCCCTACTCAACTGCTATCTTTATAAATCTCAAGTACACAGAGGGCATAGTACCTTTCCTTTCCTTGAGATAAACTAATGATGGAAGGCTTTTTCCAATTACGTTTTTCTAGCAACTTCATGAAGGAATTAGCTTGGATAACAAACACCCCAGCATTTAAATGTAAGGCCGCCTTTTGTCAAAACCTACAGGGCATGACAGTCCTGGAACAAAACGAATATTGTCATTATCTCCACGGAAATCAATTACTTTAATATTTAGAAACATATGTCATTTGAGAATCAATGTTGCCAGTCAAATAACCAGTTACTGTATGTTATCAAGTGGTAAATAATTTATTTTCTGGTACTTAATTGACCCAAACCTGCTTTCCATGGTAAAGAGAGGTAAGAGAATGGCCCTGTCCTCTGTGCAACAATTTATTACAGTTTTCCCTGATGCAATCTGTTTTAAATACATGGAACATTAAATCCCAAATGTCTATGCTATCAGGGACGACAGGAATTTAAATAGAAGCTTAAGGTCAAAGTTGGTGATTGTTGAGAAACAATAACTACCCAGTATACATAGACACAATGTTTTAGGTGAGATGGATGTATGAAAAATAAAGCTACCTAAAAAGCTGTTTTGGTGTGCTCATGTAAACACATACAGATAGTCCTTGATTTACAGCCACAATTGGGACCAGAATTTCATTGCTAAGCAAGGCAGTTAAGAAAGTAGTGCCCAATTTTATGACCTTTTTTGGCTACATCTGTTAAACAAATCACTGCAGTTATTAAGTGAGTCACATGGTTGTTCACCAAATCTGGTTTTTCTCAATGACTTTGCTTGCTGGTAGTTGGATGGGAAGATCATGAATGATTGTCATATGTCTGTGGGATGCTGCAATGGTCATAAATGTGAGGATGGTCATAAGTCACTTTTTACAGCCCTGTTGTAATGTTGAACAGTTGTTAAATGATGTTGTATGCCGAGGACTCCTTGTGTGTCACTTAACCTGTATCCTTAGGGCCAAACTATACCTTGTGCATACATGCAAGCATTGGAGGAATAAAAATGGGGATGATAAGGACATATGAATATCCTTTGAGAAAAGGCAGCTAAGTAAATATCCATGTCTATAAACCTGTGATAACAATAGGCCATTAACAAATAGTCCAAGTTCATATCATGTACTTAGCCATTGTTTGTTTTAATCATGTTCATGGGTGGGTTTACACTTCATATGAAACCATACATTGGCAAGCTTGCAAATTACCATGACTTGATTCACACCTAGAATTAAGCCCCCCCCCGCCCCCAAAGCAACATTATGCCGCTGTGCAGCATGCAAATAAGTAGGGGAGACCTTGTGAGTGTTAATTTACTTGGACCATCCGCCATATACAGTTATTGCCAGCAGGTGTAACACTGCTACGTTTTAACCAATATTAACGTTTTGCAAAAGAATAAAATGCAGGTTTACATATATGAAATCTTTTTTCCCTTGCTTCTACCCCAGAGATATATTTCAAGCTTCTAAGAATATGCAGAAAGAAAAACAAAGCCTCTTGCGTCAGTTGGAGCTCCTCAGGTAAGAAAGTGATCTGAAAAAGAGTATTTGGAAGAGTGAGTGTCTATTCAGTTACTTGGAAAATACTCAAATACAGCAGCTACAGAAAGTGGACCTCTTTGGGGCAGCCATCTCCAACCTTTCTATGCCGATGCAATTTTCTGTACAGACATAACTACACGTAAATCAATGTCAGGTACTGTAGTATTATTAGGAAAGGTGTTAATTGGATGGCGATCTATTCGACAAAAACATCTAAGCTTATCAACAATGGAGGCTGAATTCTCATGTTTGTCTCTATTATGTACGGACTCAGTATGTTATAAACAACTAATGATTGACATGGGAATTAATGTAAAGGAACCTATTGTATATGAAGACAACCAATCAGCAATTCAGATGGCTTCCAATCTCGCTGTAAAGACAAGATCAAAACACATTGATCTAAGATATCTAAATGTGGGACAATGTGTTCAAAGTAAAATGATTAAACTGGAGTACTGCATGTCAGAAAATAACATTGCAGATCATTTTACAAAAGCCCAAAACATAGCAGGCACCTCCCAAACTGGGTTTCTTAGGACTAATTATATCAGCAAACACAACCTCTAAAAGTTGTTTGGTCTTAAACCTATTCAGTCTGTTTGCAGGGGTAACCTTGCTTTTCTCCTGGTTACAGGCATTGCAGTTTAAGTACTTGCTACAGGGTTTTAATTTTACTCCCATTTTGAAATTAATGTACCCCAGACATCTATGCAGTAAATGTATACATTCGTCATGTGGCTTAACATTGTTATAAACCAAGTTAGCCATCTGCAACTGGTCATCGTGTATCACATATAAATCATTCTCTAAAGTAGCAGTACACTTTTACCCTCTTTCTCTATTATACAGTTATCTCCCCTAAAGGTTACTACATAACCAATATTAACTAAAGCCCTTATTGATAACAAATTAAATTTCAGTTTAGGTATATATAACATAGATAAATGCTCATTTACACATGAACAATATGCAGTACCTTCACCAGATGCTTTCATCTTTCATCCATTTGCCAATGATACATGTTGTTTACTAGAGGACATCTTTACAAACCTCTCTCTATTTCTAGTTATGCACTGTGATGCTCCACTATCAATTACCCACAAATCATGGTTTACAGTTGAATTGCTAGACATAGCTAAATTAACATTCTTCTTAGCCTTCTGGTGATTACCAGTATTCTGTCATTTTCCTTCTTACAGAATCTAGCTATACATCCCCTAGCCCCACAAGAAAAACATTTCCTAACAGGCAGTTGAAAACAAATCTTCTTCTTGTGGTTGTTTCTCTCTCAATTGGTCTCTTTTCAGCCTTCTTCTTGCCTCTTCTAATAATTGTCCGGTTATGTCAGTTAATGTCACTTCATTTCTGGTCAGGACTTCCAGTGATGATACGTAATCATCATAACTTTCATCCAGTGAGGAAAGAATGATGTAAACCTGATGCAGTTCTGAAAAAATCAGTTCCTTTTCATGTTGTTCTTGAAAAGTTATTTTCATGAAGTTCAAATGAGCTAACATATCTCCACCTTTCAGAAGACATGCTCTAAACAGTTTACATGTAAGATGTATGTGTGCACCTACACTGTCACGAACATAAATCCTCTTCAAATTCTCCCAACACCTAGCAGCAGACTCTTCTCCACGAATATGGACTAGCTGCTGGTCACTCAGTGTTAGTCCAATTATACAAAGAGCTCGTTCATTGTTATGTTTAAAGTCATCTAACTTTTCGGCATGGTCCTCATTATTTGGATCCCAAGCATTTACATCTGGTGGATCCTGAACTGCAGCCCATAACTTTTCTCTATGCAGAAGTAGACTGCACTTCATTAACCAGGAAACATAGTTTGTTCCATCCCACCAAGTTATCAGTGATAGATTTGTTGATGGTTCTTGTGCCATCTTTACCAGGACAGTAACCCACACTTAAACAGTAAACAACGGTCTGAATACGGTACACTAACTCTCAGTTATCTGAGCCTGGTATGGCCTGGGTCCATAACCAATGTTGAGGTATTCCCTGTTAGGGGAATCAGTGCACTCAGGGAAACATAAGGAGAGTGATGTTGAATAACACACAACCAGCATACAGATTCACTGAACAGTAAAATGTAGGTTTTACTTCCAGTAAACGGGTAAACAAAGTCCATCAAACAGTCCAAATCATACATGGTCAAAGCAGTTAGTATCAGTCCAGGGATAATCCAAAAAACGAAGTCAAGTATCATAAACAGAGTTCAGTAAACAGAGTTTGCTAAAAGTTGCAAGACTCACAACAATCCAAGCAGAACGACGGTCAGGCAAAATGGCAAAACAGGAAATGCAAGAGAGAAAGAAACCATGTTTCTGTCTCCATATTATGGCCATTGGAGGAACCTCAGCCAATCACAATTACAGCATTTTCTTAAAGATACAGTATTAAATTACTATCCTGGTTTATATATTGCCAACCCAACTGTTAGGTGACTGTCATTCCTAACAGATGGTTCTGAGCAAACAGCTGGTGAGTGCACTTGCATGCACAGCTCTTATTTGCATGAGCGGCAGGCAAGTGTGCTGGCCACTCGTACAAATGGAGCTGGGCACGCAAGTGGAGCTATGTGCGCAAGTGGAGCTGCGTGTGCACGTCCACCGTGTCCACAGCCCAGTTCTGAACAGACCATGGTCCAGTAGTGGACCGCACCCCAGGGGTTGGGGACCCCTTCTTTGAGGAATAGCAATAGCACTTAGACGTATATACCACTTCATGGTGCTTTACAGCTCTCTCTAAGCTGTTTACAGAGTCAGCATATTGTCCCCAACATTCTGGGTCCTCATTTTACCAACTTCGGAAGGATCGAAGGCTGAGTTCTCCTTGATCTGGCGAGACTCAAATTGCCTAATTGTTGGCAGCTGGAAGTCAGCAGAAGTAGCCTGCAATACTGCATTCTAACCACTGCACCACCATGCCTCCTAAATATGTTACACCAGGGTTGTCAAACTTGTCATCACGGCAGCATCACATGACATCGGGACGATTCCCACCTTTGCTAAACTGGACTTGGGGGTGGGCAGCATGTGACACATCCAGCCTGCAGGCCGGGAGTTTGACAGCCCTGTGTTACATGATAATAGAAGATTAAAATAAATATTAAAAAAGAGGAAGGGAAATAGATTTTTGTAATTGGAGGTTTGTGACTGAATTACAGGATGGGAAAAATGGAAACTGTCTCTTCCTCTACCTGGGACTAATTCTTCCAGGATGCTTGTGATGTCCCAGTCTTTACCCTTGGAGATACAATTCCATGGAAAGGAACAATATGTACTTAACTCACAGTTAGGAGAAAACACTTCTGTAAGTGTTGGGAGGCCTACAGTGGAATTAGTTGTTAAGAGTTATTGGCCTCATTTACAAATAACAATTACTCAAGATTTATTTTGATCATGGTGTATGGAAGGAAACAGAATGATGTCATGCAGACAAACAAAATATACTGGTGTGGCTGAAGTTCCCCCCACCCCTTTGTTTATTTTACAGTGGAGTGCCCAGAATAAGCGATTTTGTATTCAGAAGAATTATACATGTTAGGTTGTTTATAATTTACTTTGTATAATTAAATATTTGGATGGCCAAAAATTAACGATGGTCTAATATTTGTTGAATCGTTGCAAAAATGGGAAAACTGAACTCAGAAACTTCTTGACTAGTTGACATTGGATTGAACCCATATGAGAGCTACCTTACACAATTCTGCTCTCCAGAATTTATTAAATGAAATTTAGGTGCCAAAGAAATTATTGAACTAGCATTTGTGATTGTACAATGTTTCTTACTTTCTTTGTCCTCTCTGTCTTCTATTCATACAACAAACTGATTCAAAACTATCTTGCTATTAAAGCCCAGGATAGTTATCTTATAGTTCACTGCATTATGCAAATTCAGAACATTTGATTAATCACATAAAGCATTGGTAAGTAAACCATAGGTAAGCAGGTAAGGCAAACACAGTATAAGAGCTATTAATGGTTGTCAATGGTTTTGAAATCTTCTATAATCTGCTACCTTCAAATGTGACCAGAAATTATGGGAGCTGTAGTACATCATACTAGTAGAGAAGTCAAATCATTTCTGCACTAGTGACTTGCAATCTGTCAGAACTGTGCAACCATCATTTTGCCACAATATCAGAAATCTGAACAGGCCTTATATTACTTTAGAAATCCACTAGGCAATACTATAAATACATTCTATGTCACTAGCATGGAAATTATTTACATTTGGGTATAGGGAAAGGGCAAAGTGAACGCTGTAGCCATAACACTTGCATTTGTCTTGCTTGCCTCTGGAGCAGGGAGATGAACAAAAACCTGCGAGATGAGAGAGACGCAGTTGAAGCTAAGAAGATGGTCAGTCTGAAAAAGAACGTTTTAATCCCCAGTCACTGCTCCTTTGCCTGCTGTCGTTGCTGCCATCCCTTGGGGACATTTCATTTACCTGGGGGATACTAACAGAAACACAGAGTTTAATTATCTTTTGAAAGGATGTTTCTTTTCTAAGTCTAAATGGAGAGAGGACTGCATTTTTGCAAACCCCAGTCATTGCCCCCACCCCCCACCCCAAAATCAGCATAGCTTGTTGCCTATTTCTGATTGTAGAGGAAAGACTATAAGCAGATGTTCTTCGGACCGGAAAGCATGGAGAAATGTTTGCACTAAAGGTGAAATACCCATTAACTGAATCTATAGAAAATTGAATTTTCCTCATGCAGTTTATAGAAAAAGTCTTCTCTTTCCCTCTATTGTCACTGTTTCTAACAACTTGGAAATTTTTACCTGTAAGCCCCATGTCTTACTCTGCAACAGATAGCACTTTGTACCAGCTCTTTTGCCATATTTATTCATGACCGTACTTTTCACGGTTCTCCAATGAGCTGTTCAGAGCATCCAGTAGTGGGAGGTGCTTCAGTCTCTCCTTGGATAGGCTGGGCTTAATTGCAAGGACACTCCTCCTCCTCCTCCACGGGACTCCTCCCTAGCATCCCCCAGTTTTTGCTCAGCCTTTGTAGGAATAGGCAGCTTTTTCTTTTCCTTGGCCAGAATAGGAGCAAAGACTGCAAAAAAGCCTTCAGGTTTGGTCTGAATTTCTTTTAATTAGGCTCCGTGTGTCACCTAAGAGCCACAGCAGCTTCCGATGGCATTCATTCCATCTGGCCGTGGGAGCTCGTAAACACACTGTCAGGGAGCGCTCTCAGCGCCCTTGCAGCGGTCTGAGGCATCAAATTCCTAGTCGTGTTTACCCGAGCCCAAACGGTCAGCCCTTGCTATTGTGACTTCCCATTTCTAGCCGCGCTGTTGCAAGCAGCGAGCGCGGCTTGATTTAAACGACCGAGGCTTTTTTTTCTCCCCACCGAGAACCACCTCTTTTTACCCCTCCTCACCTTTTCTCTATTTGCCATGGGAAGCCGTTTCAGGCGACTTCATGAGGTGGGAGTTCGCTGCTGGTCTGGTCTTGGCACTCAAAATTAACTGCCGGCGCCATTGAGATCACTATAGACCATGTGGCTCTGTGCCGTATTTACTCAGGCTTGTGAGAGGCATTATCCCCAATCAGGGTCCTCTTTGCAGACCTGTCACGTGAGGGAAATCATTCTGACTTCTAACATTAGGGCACATCAGGACGCAACATTCAATGCGGTTAAATTTTCATCAAGGGCCATAGCATCCATGTTACAGCACGGTGTTTACTATGGCTCGGACACTGGCAAGCTGACACTAAGCACAACTGGAAGTTTGCCTCATCCCCCATTTCAGGAGACAAATTGTTTGGCACTGCCCTTGATCCGTATTGATAGAAAACAGAAATAAGAAAAAGATCCCCCCTTCTCTTTTTCGCAAATCAGATAACAGAAACACCCAGCCCTTTCGGAGGGGTTCCTTTCATCTCTTCTATCAGGGTACATATTCCTCAAGAGAGCCTTTGGATGTAGGCAGGGGCAGTAGTCAGAAAGACCCAATTTTGGGGACAGGAATAGAAGGAGAGGACAGGGTAAGAGACCATTCCGTGGGGCAGGAAACAGGGCTTTCTGCCATCCCAAATAGGGCCAAGGACAATGCTCCCATTGGCGGATGACTAAAACTCTTTGAAGACCAATGGGATTCCTCTACCTCAGACTCCTGGGTCCGAGATACCATTAGATTCGGCTTGGCTCTGGAATTCCAATCCACATCCCCGAACTTCTTCATGACATGCCCACTTTCTAGGGATCCTGTTGAAAGAACTCTTACGGAGACAGCTATCCACCATTTGCTGGAGATCTGTGCCATTCAACCAGTGGCACTGGATCAACAAGGGCACAGTTTTTACTCACACCTTTTTGTGGTTCCGAAGAGTTTGGAAGCAAGAGAGGGATCATAGTGTAATGGCTTGTTTTACATATCTAAATTAATGTGTGTTATTTGACTGAATATTTCACTATTTATTTCTGTGATTAATTGGTTTGTGGAAGTATCTCCAGGTGAATAATTGATGAGGATACATATTACCATTCCATTGTAAATAGTGAAAGATATCTATTCTGCTTTGGTAATATTTTCATGTTAATTTTAATCACCCAGGGAAATAACTCTTGCACCTTGTTCCCCAAATCCTGTGATGTATTAAACTGGATCATGTACAGATATAAAAGGATTAATAAAATTGTGTAAATAGAAGTTTCAGTAAATGAAGCTAAATATGAATATAAAATGAACAGTGTGAAGTCTTATTTTGAACACTCTGCATCTTTGCATATTGATCAAGTTGTAAAAGGTTCTGCTGGAAAGATCCAGAGAGGATGACCATCAATGCCAAGTCCTCAAAGTACTTGGAGCCATAGTGTTCCTCCTTTCTTCCTCATAAGTCTTCCAATGTGAATCCAGAGGCCATATTTTTCATTTTTTGTTGCTTATTTTTGCTCTGTGTGTCCAAGACACATAAAATAAAGATCTATTTGTCAAGAAGTAGAATGTTCCATCCACATTTTAAAGCAATGGTAGAGATAGTTCTGGATTACAATGTGACAATGTGTACTAAGCAATGTGGTCATAAAGTACAATGTCACATGACCATGTTGCTTAGCGGTGGCAATCCCAGCAGTCCCAGTTGCCATTGTAACTTCAGGAGGGAAAGTTGAGTGGTAAGAAGTGAGAGTCCCAGTGAATGGCCCACTAGAGAGCACAACTGGGGCCAAGGGATCTTATCCTCTGTAGTGGGTTCAGTGGCAGCAACTTACTGTGGCAACTGGGTTAGCATATGCTAAGGGTCTGCCTTAGACCAGATACAGTGTGATCTATTTACCTTTACTTGGAAATAACCCCATTATGTTAAATGAGGCCTAGATAAAAATACGCAGGGTTGCAACCACAAAGAACGCAGTCAAAGTAGTCTTTTCCATATAATATCTCATTTCAAAGTATGTCTACATTCCTCTTTTTGTTTTGCATGGCATCTAGATAAGCTGTTTATTTGGCCATTAGAGATTTATGCATGCATTAGTTGAGACATTGCTGGTTATTTTGTAGCAGATATTTAAAGAAATTGAATCCTAGTGGAGAAAAGGGCCACTTTCTCACTGGTTTGCAATAATTCAGAGAATTATATTATGAACTCTGCTATTTAGAACTTTTACCTATTTACCCCCAAAGCATCAAGAAAGAAAAAGTCCAATAGGATGTGAATTGGATTCTATAAATTGGACATCATTGTCATCCTTTGACATTCTCCTAACATTATTCCCAGGCTGCTACGTCTCTTAGCCTTCCTGGACCGCATGTCTCCCTCCTGGGAACAGACACCATTTTTGGAGCAGACACAATTCATTATGGCCACTCTGAAAATGGCTTCTGCTTCTGGGACAAAGTCACATGGCCTAGGCCTTAGGGACAGAGCAGTGTGCTCTCCTTCCCTACCAGAGTCTTCAGATTCTAGAGATCTTCTTTAAGGTAAGGGTGCAATCGGTTACTAGTGGTGGGGAGAAGTGTGCAGGAACCAGTGGGGTGAGAAACAGATCCAAGGCCTTCAGGGACCAGGCAAGAGGGAAGCAGGCCCAAAGTCTCTGAGGATCCTGAGGAGTGGGCTGGGGAGAAGAGAGGAACACTGTAATGTGTCTGAGGTCAGTCATAAAGGAGAATGACTTCATGCTGACCATAACTTTGAAATCAAGTCATAATTTGCTCAGTTTTAGCTTTGAATTGTTAGAACATGTTTTATTATATAGTATTAGAATATTTTATTTGAGCAGTCACACTTTTATTAAGGCCGTGTCTCCTTTTAATATACTTTTAAGATTTGTAAGGCTTCTCACACTTCATTGTTCACAAACTTTTAAAGTAGTTTACCCAGCGGATTGAGATAAAGTATACATTTTAATGAAAGATAAGGTATACATTCCAGGGATAGTTTCTCCTTGGATAAGAAGAAACCTTAGAAGCCCTGGCAAGGAAAGAAATTCCTTATATGGAATGATGTGTGGAGGGAAATGAGTGATTGGGTAGTTTGTATTCTATAGGAGGGACTGATTTTAATGCATATAACCTGTGCTGGATGAAGGGGGCCTTTGCAAGAGTCCATCTACTATGGCTTGCTATCATTGTCCTTAGGCGAAAAATAACCTAATTTCATGCAGCTGCCTGATGTTTTTTATCAACCTGACTCAGAATGAACTGAATAAGGAATCAAATATTTCAGCAGAATGGTTGCAAGTCAAGGATAACCTGTTATGAGAGGTAATAAAAATTCATTTTCCCAACCAATGTGTGCATTTATGACCAAATTTCATGTTCTTGACAATAATACACAATGCAGTGATGGGATTCAACTTTTTTTTACCACTGGTTCTGTGGGCGTGGCTTAGTGGGTGCACTTTGCACCAAATGCGTGCTTTGTGCACGCACAGTGGGTTTGATGCTGACTTTTTCCTGCAATCCTGCACTCACCCTGTGTCTTCAACAGCAGATGCGTGGCAATCCGCTGTGCTGCGTGAAGCAGCTGAGCTTCAAAACCAGGAAATAAAGATTAGTATAGAGCCGGGGCAGATGGAAGGGCCCAGCAGCTGGTTGTCGGAGCGAACTGGTTTGCTCACAGATGTTCTTGAGAGCTACTAGTTTGGCCGAGCCAGGCTGAACCGGTAGAATACCACCACTGGCACAATGGGTCGAGAGTAAGGATGGCATAGCTATACTACAGAACACTTTCTCAAACAAAACAGTAGCAACCTATGATATTCACAGCTTCTTTCTCTGCCTTCTCTCTCTCAGTCACATGTTCACTCAGTGGCCATAACAACCTGATTGTTGGAATGGAACTTGGTCATTAAACGAGGTGTAGTATAACTGAATCTATACAGTATTCAAATAACCTTGACGTGTTTGCACTTTTTAAAGCCTAGACTTATATCAGGAGGCATCATCTGTAGAAACTGAAGTGAAATAGATCACATTGTTATTTTCATAACTCCCATAAAGGATGACTGAAGGGAAGTTGCATTTCCATGATTGAGAAGGGCTTCGAAAAATACCAGTTGAGCATTTTCTGGAAGCAAATATCTGAGGAAGACAAATGACTGGT